AGCATTTTTCATGCACCCAACACACACTTTTGTGGCCTGCATACACATTTTTACACCAGATATCCTGGTTTTTCTTGCTTATAATTGAGAGTTTGATTTAGCATTTTTTTTTACTAATGTATGTGTACCAAAAAGTTAAATACCTAAATCTTTTAAACTCAGTTTTTGATACCAAACTTGTAACACCCCATAATCCAATTTGTATATGACCACAAATTTCATAGATCATGAAATACAAATTTACACATTTGGTCCCACTATATTACAAAAGTTGTTATCAAAATTTTCCACATAATCCCATTACAAGACTTGTAAATATAACAAGTATTCAGGTACAACAATATCACATCATCCCAAAAATCCACATGCAAGCAATCATAAATTCTTCATAATTTTCCCTTCTCCTTATCATCCGATTATGTCTGACTTGTAATACACATTTTAAAACACCAAAATGAGGGTTAGACTATGAGATCTAGTGAAAAATCCATTTGATTGCTATCACAGGATGAAAATCACCAAAACACTTTTATAAAACTCATATTTGTATAAATAACAAATAAACAGCGTTTTATTTAACAAACCTCTTTTTGTCGCATCGAAATACCCACTTATCGCATCGAATAATAAAATAACCCTTTTGTCGCATTATACATAAACTCGTCGCATCATGTAGATAAAACCATAATTTTATCGCATCACAAGGGTGAGACAACCCCATTTCCTCGCATCACACAGGTGTGAGGACCCATCTCATTGCATCCAGTACATGCGATAAACACATCTTGTCATATCAATAGGATGTGACAACTCAACTTGTTGCATCACAAGAATGCGACAAACTCCCTTCTCGCATCACATGAGTGCGATAAAATCAACTCATCACGTCAATAGGATGTGATAACCCAAGTCATCGCATCATGAAGATGCAAGAACTCAAAGTCGTCGCATCATAAAGATGCGATAACAGCTTCTTTATTTTGATCAGAATCCCAGTTTTCACATACAAATGATTATGTCACCTTTGTCCCAAAAATACACCTCTCCTGATTATGTCACTCTTATCACATAATGCACATCTTCTGATTATGCCAACCTTATTTCAATCATTTGATATAAACATATCAAAATACAAATCATTTGATAACAGTTTTCAAATCCCCCACATAATGAACCATACGGTTCTGTTTATTGACACTGTAAGATTAATTTTTTTTTAAAATTAAAACAATTAACCAGAGTAAGAATTACATCAACTTCTTCTTCTTCCCCTTTCGGTTTCTGTTTTGCTTCCGTCTCAAAACACCCACATAAACTTTTTACTTCTTACTTGCTTTTTTCTCAACCCCAATGAAATATACAAAATATCTCATAAACAAACATAACATACATAAGGCAGGGTTTTTTTTTTTGAAACACATAATCAAATTAATCATCCTCAACTTTTCATCATTATTCAAAATCAATCCCAAATTTTATAACCGATAATCAGATTATCACAAAAATCAACTTCAAAAACTTTTAAAAAAAATTATGTAATTTTTTTGTGTTATGCTATTATTGATTTTTATTATTTTTTAATATATTAAATTTGTATTTTTATTATGTAATATATTTTATTTGTATTGTAACATTAGTTATATTTTATGTTTTTTTAATATTCATTAATATATTAAATTTAATTTCTAATAATAAATAAAAAATATGCAATATTTATTAATGATTAAACTATTTTTACTTCTTATAACCARAATTTTAAATAATAAATTATTCATATATTTTTACAAACACTTTTGTTAAAACATCAAAAACCATGATGTGACATCAACAATTATTAGTTAACCCATTTTTTGTTAAGAAATTTTACCCACAATTTCTTATATTATTCACTCACATATAACAATATACTTAAGTGTTTAATTATTTAAAAACTCCATAAATTATGATAATTATGAAACTATTGTAAGATATTGTTTTACATTCATTTTTCATCTAAAACTAGGATTTAATATATTGATTAATATATATATATATATTTGTTTCATATGTATTCGGTTTATAATGTGAAACTTTTTTAATTGTACTTTTTGTTTCATAAATACATAAATAATATTTACATTGTAAAACAAATATATGTTAATCAATATAATAAATACAAATCATAGATGAAAAAAATAACCGATTCTTAAAATTATCAAATTTTATAGGTTATCAAATATATAATATTAAGATAACATATGTTGTATCAATATTTAACTATATAAATTGGGTTTATAAGACGTCCTCAATCTCTAAGCATCTCAATAGACCGTTTTATAGGACTTAATTTATATGACCAAAATATAAAGCGTCATATCTAAAGGCGTTGTAATAAGTTTATATGACGATTTTGGGTATCGTAACTAGTTTTTTAGGATATTTTTATTACAAAGCGTCGCATTAGCAACTTTATATGACACTTTTGAGAAAGTGTCATATAAACTCAATTTTTTTATAAGACATTTGTTTTTATATGACGTTTTTTTAAATAATGTCCTATGAAGTTGCTAATGGGACATTTTATATTAAAAGTGTCAAAAACTTATTACGACGTCAAAAAATGTCATATAAACTTATTACAACGCCTTTAAATAGGACACTTTATTTTTTGATCCTACAAACTAAATGTTATAAAAAAGTCTCTTAAACCGTTTAAAAATTGAGAACATTTTATAAATCTGATTTTGTTTCACCGTGGGGATAGGCAGTGAGTTAGGGTTTTTAATTGAATAATTAGTCATGGTAAGTTAAGTGGGTGGGGCTCCTAATTTTGTAGTGACTTGGGGTTTTTAATTGAATATTTAATAAGGGTGAGTGGGTTGGTAGGTGGGTGGGGCCCTTAATTTTGTAGTGAATTAAAAAACATCATATCAATACAACCAATTAAATTTGTCATAATATTTTTTTATTAACCTCGATATTCAACCCGTTATACGAGCAGATTAATCCAAGGACGACCAGCTACTTTGTAGATAGTTCGAAGTCACCGTATTCGAACCTCCATGACCACAAGGAGATACGACCAGCTGCTTTATAGATAGTTCGAAGTCACCACATTCGAACCTCCATGACTACAAAGGGTTTTTTATTTCTCTTTAGATTTGAACCTGAGACCTTCAGATACTTTTGATCTTTCAAGTCAAACTCAAAACAATCAAACACCATCTTTATGGTTGAATTGGTCATAATATTATACCAAACATAACATGATTGATATATAAAATATTATGCACGTGGTCCTTTGTTTATTGTTTATTTTTGACACATCATATCTTTGTTGTTTGTTTGCGTAAAATATTTATAATCAAGTGTATGAGATGACCAACAATAATTAAAAGACTGTGCTTATTGAAATGTGTGTACTACTTTTTAAGTATGGACTACTGAACAATGTAACTTTAGCTTTTGGTATTTGATCATTGAACTTCTATTTTTGTAACGTTGATGCAAAACTGATATCAGCATGTATCAATTAAAAATAATTTGTATTTAAAATTGGTTGATATACAATATAGAATTTTGTTTATCAATTATGATTGGTTGATATACAATATTAGAAGAAAAATATGATAGTATGCTATGTTCACCATTAAGGGCTCCTACCATGCAGATTACTTCTTAGCTTTTCGGTATCACTTCTTAAACTAAACTAGGAAAGAAAAACCAAACACAACCACGTTGAAAATATGGGAGGCACTACAATAAAATCGAGTTTATAGGACACTCCTGATTTTTAAGATCCCTAATAGATCTCTTTATAAAACTTAGTTTATTGGATCAAAAAAATAAAGCCTCTTATCTAAAGGCGTTGTAGTAAGTTTATATAACGTTTTTTGACGTCGTAATAAGTTTTTTAGAACATTTTTAATATAAAACGTCCCATTAGCAACTTTATAGGATACTATTTGAAAAACTGTCCTATAAAAACAAATGTCCTACAAAAAATTTAGTAAGTGTCTTATAAAGTTGCTAATGCGACACTTTGTATTACAAATGTTCTAAAAAACTTGTTAAGACGCTCAAAAGCGTCATATAAACTTATTACAACACCTTTAGATATGACGTTTTATATTTTGGTCCTATAAATTAAGTCTTATAAAACAGTCTATTGGGATGCTTAGAGATTGAAGGTATCTTCTAAACCCAATTTTGTTGTAGTGAGAGACCGGTCCATCTGAACACATCTGCCAACAATTTGGTTGATCTGATCTGATTCAGTCATCTATTTATCCTTGATCCGAATCAATCCAATGTAATGCTGGAAACCGATTCAATAAAATCTATTAGATGATTTGATTTGTTTGTTCCATTGATTAGATATTACTCTTGGTTATGCATTGAATAAGATTGGATCTTCCAATATTTTGATCCGATTGTCAAACAATTAACCTTCCAGTTTTATCCATTATTCATATATTTTTCTTATTTCTTAACAAAATACTACATACAAATATCAACACACAACACCGTAAAATATTATTAATCAAAAATATATGTTTATAAATTAGATAGTAGTTGGCTGGATAGTAATAGGATTAAATCAGCTAAATTTTATTGGGTTTTGGATTATTATCAAAGAACCAACAAATCCAATATGGATGTCGAAATTTTAGACCTATCTGATCCGATTACAATTGGATATTCAGTTATGATCAGTCTGCTTTAATTAGATTGGATGACTATCTACACATACTTGTCAACAATTAACATAAGCTATTTCAAATTACTGATACTATTTTAATCATTGAGACTACTACAAGAAAGTCTTTCAAATTGGATTAATTAGCTACAGGTATACAAATTTTGAGCAGAACATTTATAGGGACATTTATTCCCTCCACATGTAAGTTTTTTTTTTCTTTTGGTCTTGGTCAATCCCATTTCTTTATGAATTTTATTTCTCCAATTTTGACCATAAAAAATATTTCTATTTAAATTAGATTCTTATCATGAGTTGCTTCAATTACATCTACAACAGAAAATTATGAGAGTGTTTGGTTCATCGTTGAAGCTTCAATTCATTCTCAATCCATAAGTTGATGTCACTTTAAATGGTATGCATATTAACAATCGGTTATGAATCCATCAAAATCTCTCTGTTAGATGGTTACTTATTAACAGTTTGTTTGCAGTTTTCTTTCTCTACATCAATTCCCAAGCAACCCATTTATGTTTATTTGCAAATTTGCCATGCATATACGTTATCAGTTGGTAATAAATCTATCAAACTCTCAACAAAATCGTCTACTTAAACTGGTTCTGATTATTGATTGCTAATATAATTGAAACAGACAGTTGTGATCAAAGTTCATTGGAGTCTTCGTCGTCTGAAGTTCGTATCAATTTGAAGGTATGTGTTGGCTTACCAAGTCCCGACATCATTTTTAAGTTTATTTGTATATATACGATGTTATATAGTTTTAACGAAAAGCATAGTTTTACAAGCAAAATAACATGAACCTTTCATTTCTCGTAACCGTTTAGCTATTATGTGAAACTTTAGTTAATTAATTGTCTTTTAATATAATTGTTAGTTTATCATATATTTTCACTTAAACAAGACGTAGGGCCATTTACCCAAATGCTTACCCGGTAAGCGCTTATCAATTGGAGTCAACACTATAATATATTTTGATACTAAGATTTTAGTACATCAAAACATATTGAATGCAACAATTTACTGAGTAAGCACTTACCTGTGTAAGAGTCGTCATCCTCACTTACTGGATAAGACTCTCAATCATTCTCATCGCTCTTACTCGGTAAGATTTTTGGCCCTTCTATTATGGTTTTGTATAATTTTGAGAAAACGATAATGTTTTTATATTTGAATAAAATATGAATTTAAAGACCCCGTAAAGATTTTATATCGATATCAGTATCAGACTAATAATTTAAAAGTTCTTTCTTTGTATAATTCTATTAGTTCAATTTTTTATTATAATTTAATTTAGGTTAGTTGACGAAATAATTTATTTTAGGTTTAATATTATAATTTTTTTATAAAGATAAACTTTAGTTCAATTTCTTTTATTATAATTTAAGTTTAACTTTGATAACGAATTAATTTATTTTAGTGTTATTAATRTAATCRTTTTATAACGATAATAATTAAATATTTTGTTAGAGTTCAATGATTATTCTAATTATATTTTAGAATCTTTATATTGAAAATAACATGTTTATTCCATGTTTGATTATGTTTATTAGTCAGTTATATGAATTCAAATATATAACTTTTAAAAGTTGTACTCATATACCATATACTTGTAATCTTGAATTTTAAGTAATATTATTATATAATAATTAAATATTCAATTAAAACTCAATAATTATGAACGATGAGAAAGAAAATGAACAAGATTCGGTAATGAAATGTTTCTTGTTAATATGTTGCACTAATTATTGTTTACATATATTAAAAACACAATATAATGCTTAAATAAATTCAGAATTTTTAAAAAATAAAAGTGTTAGAAATTATAAAAGTTTAATTGTAATCAGTTCAATTACGATAATGTCCTTAACTCTTATTTTTAATATGTTTATTGAAGTCATCGAATTAGTTGACATAGTTTGATCTCATCCTTGGCACAATATATTGGGTAGTGGTTGCGTGTGAAACCACGAGTGTATTGTCATGTAACATAAATTTTTATACTCATTTAACAGTGCAATCATATTTCTGGTCGAGTAAAATCATAATGTTTTTTTGTTGTGCGTGACCATAAACTTAACTGGTAACCTAACTCTTCAAAGAGATGAATTTCAATTGATATTAACAATGAAAACATAAAACATTTTTGTTGGTGAAATCATAACCATTTTTTTGTTCAGTGAAAACCATAAACTAACTTTCTAGTTACTTCGTTCTTTATTTCTATTTGAGAGGGTCTTAAGGAAAAGAATTTTATTTCCACCGAGCTAAAATAATATGTTGATGTCTCTAGTATTTTTATTGAATCATCGTGGTTCTAGTATGAATCTAGGGTTTTAATCGATTCATAAGGTCTTAACAAGAAAATTCCTATCAATAATAAAGAAAACAAATAATAAACATTATATACAAAAACAAATAAAAGAAAAAGAAAGAAATAGGGAACGGTAACCCTAACTCTTCAAAGAGATGAATTCAATGGATTTTTGAAAGAAAAATTGTTTTTAATATCTTAAATATTTAATATATATTTAATCGATTTAAATAAGCAAAAGTTAGTCATACAATTATTTTATATTTTTATTTCATGATTTATTTTATTTTATAGTGTGATAATTATTTCTTTGATTATAACAAAAACAAAAATCATGGATCTTATCTCTATATCTATCACTCTCACTACAATAAAATTAGGTTTATAGGACGTCCCCAATCTCTAAACGTCTTAATAAACAGTTTTATAGGACTTAATTTATATGATCAAAATATAAGGGTCCTATATAAAGATGTTGTAATAAGTTTATATGACGCTTTTGGGCGTCTTAACAAGTTTTTAGGACATTTTTAATATAAAGTGTTGCATTAGCAACTTTATAGGACACTTTCATAAACTCAATTTTTTATAGGACATTTGTTTTATAGGACATTTTTTCAAATAGTGTCCTATAAAGTTGCTAATGAGACGCTTTATATTAAAAATATCCTAAAACACTTATTACGGCGTCAAAAAACGTCATATAAACTTATTACAACGCTTTTAGATAGGACGCTTTATTTTTTTGTTCTTATAAACCAAGTCCTATAAATAGGTCTATTAGAACACTTAGAAATTGAGAGTGTCATATAAACCCGATTTTATTATAGTGGATCTTTATATAAATTATTAATTTTTTCACTAGTTTAAATCTCATATGAATAACTTAATATTTGTTCGGTCTTAAAATAATCGAAACAAGTCTAAGCTTATTTAAAAGATTCTGAATTCACAACTCCACTTTTATATTCTTGGTAAAAATCACTACTTGCAAGTTGCAAACATATTAATTGAATTCCCACCGGTTATTTTTCAAATTATAAATTAAAATTCAATTTAGAATTCAATACAATAAACTTGGGTTTATAGGACGTCTCCAATCTCTAAGCGTCCCAATAGACTGCTTATGAGACCGAAATATAAAACGTCATATCTAAATGTGTTGTAATAAATTTATATGACACTTTTAGCACTCTTAACAAGTTTTTTAGAACATTTTAATACAAAGTGTCGCATTAGCAACTTTATAAGACACTTTTGATAAATTGTCCTATAAACTCAATTTTTTATAGGACATTTGTTTTTATAGGACAAATTTTCAAATAGTGTCCTATAAAGTTGTTAATGGATGCTTTATATTAAAAGTGCTCTAAAAAAAACTTATTATGACGTCAAAAAACATCATATAAACTTATTACAACGCCTTTAGATAGGACGCCTTATTTTTTGGTCCTATAAAGAGGTCTATTAGGACGTTTAGAAATTGAGAGTGTCCTATAAATCTGATTTTGTTGCAGTGATCATTACCCTATACTGTATTGATTTCTTTCTTTGCATGTGTTGTATCTTTTTCATTACCCTTTCCTTAACCAAACCATGTTACCATCTTACCCGTACAACTTTGTATAACAGCGGAATTTGAGCTATATAACATATCCGATGGCAAATATGGATGTCGAGGTTGGAGGCAGAAGCGGACCTAGAAACAAAACGAAATGGTGGCACCCCAACACACAACAAAACAATAGTAACATTCCGGACAACGTTCAAATTCTTCTTGATCGTAAAGAAATGGGACAGAATCTTTCTAATCAAGTTCCACCATCTATTTACAAGGTTCCTAGTAGTGTCCGAAATCCAGAGCCAGATTATTTCAAACCTCAGGTCGTCTCTATTGGACCTCTCCATAGAGAAGATAAAACATTGCAAGAATTCGAAGAGAAGAAAACGATTTATCTGCATCATCTATTACAACATTTAAATACTTCACCACGGCATACACTGGATACATGTTTGCAGTGGGTGAATGCTTCAATACCCAGAATCAGGGAATGTTATGGTGGGATGATCACCTACACAGACGTCGAACTTGCACAAATGATGGTAATGGATGCTTGCTTCATACTCAGTTTCCTTTTCCTATCAGACGAACGTCAGCGTTTCACTTCTAGAAATGCTATCCTCACACATTCTATTTTCAGTGACCTGGTGTTGTTAGAAAATCAGATCCCTTTCTTTGTTCTTCAAGGTATCTTCAACCACACGCTTTCGAATTTACAAACAGACTCGCTTACTTCTGGTGTCCTTCGGCATTTACAATTTCTTATCCCCTTCAAAGGAATCAATTATAATGATGTTACAAGTACAACCCAGCCTCATCATATTCTTGGGCTTCTGCAAAAATATTTCCATCCAAGAGATACTAATATCCTATCAACCCGTTCACCGCTAGAAATGCCCAACYGTCCAACATTAAAAATGCTTAACCACTCTGCTCTAGATCTGGACAAGGCCGGGGTGAAATTTAAGCCTAATAAAGATGCAAATTGGATATTGGCCATAAGTTTTAGCTCGTCTCGATTTGAATGTTTTAGGWRGTGTTGGGGAAACCGTACTCTTAGAATGCCCGCACTGTGTGTTGATGATAACACTGAGCTATTTTTGAGGAACATAATTGCATACGAACAGTGCACTCCGGAAGTTCCTGATTACGTTACATCATATGTTTCTGCCATAGATATGCTACTCGATACCAAGGAGGATCTTTCCAAGTTGGTAAAATCAAAAGTCCTTAGCAACAATTTAGGTTCAAACAAAGATGCTACCAAGATGCTTAACAGCATATCTAAACAATTTGTCTTCGAGGAGTTCTATTACATGGATCAGTGGGAAAGACTAAATCATTATTACGAAGGTTACTGGCCCAGAAATATTGCATGGTTGAAGCGTAAATATTTCAGTAGTCCATGGAATATCATTGCTCTACTAGCTGCTATCATCCTGTTCTCTCTTGCCATAGTTCAGGTCGTCTTAAGAATAATTAAGTAGATTCTCATTGTTTCTTTTGTCTTCCTTCTTTCTACACTTTTGCGAATTATGTATTATATGGTATTTTTTTCACTTTCTCTTACAAAGTCATCATGTCCTACAACTGCTGGTTTCAGTGTTAAGCTTGATTTATGTCGGTGCAACCATACCAATATGTTCATTTTTCAGCATCAATTTTGGTTTTTTTTCCTTCTGAAATTTATATGATTTCGTTAAGAAATGTCACATGGTGTGGGGTAATTCTTTATCGTCTTTCTGCATTGCTTTTCTGTGGGTCAATTAGCAATTCTCTATCATTGTTCTTGCACTGCTTTTCTGTATGCCGTATAAAAATTGATGGAAAAGAACTTGTCTATTACAAACACTACTAGAAAACTGGGCATTTTCGGCGGAATTTCCGCCGGAAATCCGCCGAAAATATTAAACCGGTTATATTTCCGGCGGAATTGTTAATTAAATGTTAATTAATCTTTAAAAATTAATTAATAAGAAAAAAAATTAAAAAACAAAAATTCCGGCGGATTTATTTTAAAAATTTATTTTAAAAATTTCCGCCGGAAATCCGAGAGAAAAAATTTTAGAAAAATAATTTTTAAAAAATAAAAAAAACCCTTTTAATCTTTTCCGGCGGATTTCTGGCGGAAAATTTAAAATAAAAAATAAATCCGCCCGAAAAAATTTTAGAAAAATAATTTTTAAAAAATAAAAAAAAACCCTTTTAATATTTTCCGGCGGATTTCCGGCGGAAAATTTAAAAAAAATAAATCTGTCGGAAGTCCGCAGGAAAAAGTTTTGGAAAAATAATTTTTTAAAAAATAAAAAAAAACCCTTTTAATCTTTTCCGGCGGATTTCTGGCGGAGAATTTAAAAAATAAATTAAAAAATAAATCCGCCGAAAAATGTTTTAGAAAAATAATTAAAAAAACCCTTTTAAACGAACTTGAGATATACTTTATGTTAGAACTTGGTTGCCAATTGTTGGGCAAACGTTAGAAATTTTATGTTAGAAATTTTCAATTGTGTGGAATATTCACCCCCTCTTAAATTATTGTTGTATGTTTTCTAACGTTGTTTTGTAGAAAATCAATAATGCCGCGTACTCGGATCACTGGAAGAGCTAGTGGCAGTACACCTACCCACGGTACGGGTAGAGGCTCTAGCACCGCTTCGGCACACCCGGAGGAGATTGAATCTGGACGTDGTAGTGCTGCTCCGGAGCCGCTTCCACAACAGCGGACGTTTATTGGCATCTACGGCCAAGAGTAAATACATTTACACCTTAAATAATTGATAAAAATATATTATTTGTATTGATGCTAATTCAATTCGTCATTATATAGTTTCAATGACACCAAAGTGATCCGGCGGATCACCAAGATCAACCGGGAGCTGCTTGACGGCCCATGGACCACTTGGGAGAAAATCCCAAAGG